ATGTCATCTTGTCATTTATTCACTCTGTACGTGACATTCTCGTTTGATGTCATCTTGTCATTTATTCACTCTGTACGTGACATTCTCGTTTGATGTCATCTTGTCATTTATTCACTCTGTACGTGACATTCTCGTTTGATGTCATCTTGTCATTTATTCGCTCGTGAGATTCTGCTCCATACAATATGGATCTTGTTATAAAAATGAGAGCAGTGTTCTAGAACCATTCTGATTACTTTTCTCTTTACCCCCCTTCCCCCAACGGTAGCTAAACGGTAAGCTTTAGGGGTTAAAATTCGTGGTACGATCCCTGCGGTAGACTCAGCACATATAGCCCATTGTGTAGCTTTTATGTTTAACTCTTTATCACACCAAAAATCGTTATCATTTTTTGTTCCATTTGGTATTACTTTTAAAAATGGCTTTAATGAAAGTTTAGTAATTGTTAAATCATGAAAAATAAAAAAAAAAGATCGAACAAGAACAATGCATTTAAAGTTTCTAAAGATGACTAAGTTGGCTTCTGTAAAGGAACAACGCGTATGTTGACCAGTGATTCCTAAAAACCTGAACTTGGGAGTTGCTTTAACTTTTCAACCACGTGCTGAATTCATTAAGGTTTATTCAAAAGTCACGCCCTGTGTGGGAATACACGTAAAGTGCTGGACTAGGTCATCACAGGTGTTCTGTATGTTCCCCACCGGCTGCACCATCTACTCCCATATGGGACGTAACTAAGTCAATGCCAGAATTACTTTGTCAAAGTATTTTTGAATTGGTAGCACCAAATTAGAATTCTCAACCTTATGTGAACTAAACGGCTTGGTTGGAAATCCCTAGAATTCAGCTATAGACATCCTAATTTTCAACTACTAGCTAATGGGAGGGCATCTAGTGAGCAGTCCCCGCCGCCACAAGGGCTTTATCGTGCCCTTTGAACCGAGTAACGGGATCGACTGTCTCATTTATAACGCGTCCACAGCTGAAAGTACTGCGTTCAACACAATCACGTCTCGAACCTCGAACCCTTCGATCTGCTGCCCAGTATGATAACTATCTTCAACATCTAGTGTACTAAAAAGCTCTTTGATGTTTATTATACAGAAAAGTTCCAAGATTGTTAAAAATCTTGAGAAAAAGGCAGTCACGAGGGGCTATAGTACGGTCCAACGTATAAAAGTTCGTTTTTTTGTTTTTTTTACTCCAGGGGTTACTATAGTACAAAGTTTAGAAATTAACTTGTTACCAGGGGCTACTGTACAATACATACTTTACAAGGGCATCTGTTACAAGAGGCAACTGTCCGGTACAAACTTTAGAAGGTCATTTGTTTCGAGGAACAACTGCACTGTACAAAGCTTAAAATGTAATTTGTAACGAGGGACTAGTGTACAGACAAAGTTTAAAGTGCCATTTGTCACGAGAGGTCGCACTGGACGATACAAAGTTAAGAAGGTGATGTTTGTTCGAGAAACTTTTCCGGTAAAATGTTGAGAGTTTTTGTTTTTTTAACTGTGAACTTTCAATCATGAATAACAATTGGAAATAACCTATATCATGTTCAAATCAAGTTAGTCCTAAAATATTCTGGAATATTAATGAACGAGAGGCTTTGCGAAATATCTAGAACAAGGATTAGATTATAAATATGGGTGAGCCAGTCAGTTGTCTAATTATTGAAACAGTGAAACATAAAGAGTTACATAGAGAGTTGTTTTCTAGCCGATAGAGTGAATCAGTTATTGTGTTTACGTTTTTAGATCTGTGTTAGCTATTGCGTATATTGAGTTATTTTATACAAGTACCATTCCCAAGTTATTGTGTTTACGTTTTT